TTCACTGTCCCTCAGACCGTTGGAGGGCCGGACTATAGTTTAAAAAAAAACTATGAACAAATTCCTATGCACACTGCACATATCTTATTTTGAAGTAAAAAAACAAAACGGGAACAAATACAATATTTGTATTTGCATGTGGCCCGTGGGCTGTAGTTTGAGGACCCCTGGTTAATACCCTAGTCTGGCTGATGAAACACTGATACCTTTTTTTTTTTTTAATCCTCACCTGAGGACATTTCCATTGAATTTTTTAGAGAGTGGAAGGAAGGGGGAGAGAGAGAGAGAGAAACATCAATATAAGAGAGACACGTTGATTGGTTGCCTCCTGCCCACACCCGGGACTGGGGCTGGGCATCAAGTCTGCAACTGAGGTGCATGCCCTTGACGGGAATCGAACCCAGGACACTTCAGTCCACAGGCTGATGCTCTATCTACTGAGCCAAACCGGCCAGCGCAATGCTGGAACCTTTGAATAAATACCCCAGCACCACATCACCAGGTGGAAACAGGTCTTGAGGCCAGGTGTGTCTGTGACAGAGACAGGTTTGCTTATTTAAAAATGGGAACAAACCTCCCCACCAGGTGAGTGTCCTGCCAAATGAGAGGCACCTGCGCTCTGGTTCAGCTCTTGGCTTCCCAAAGAGCTTCCCGTGTCTCTGGCCTTCTGGACTCATTTTACCAGTTCTGGGCCCCAGCAGACGTAACAATAGAATCAAGTGGGGTTAGAGATGCAATGCATGCCGGGCAGGGAGTCTAGATCTCTGCATGATTAACATTCAGGGCCAGAGCCCAGGAATCCTCAGTAGCGGGGCTGGTCTGTGCGATTTAGGGCGTCAGCAACACCCCTGGTCTCCACACACTAGATCCCAGTAGCAGCCCTCCTCCCAAGTTGTGACAACCAAACATGTCTCGGGTCATTGCCTAATGTCCCCTGGGGATCCATTTCCTCTGTTTAATCACTGATGGGAAGTGCCCAGCGAGTGCCCGGCACGCATAGGCCTGAAGGGCGGTGGCACTGGGCTTGTGTTCTGCCCACACTGCTGACGTGAGGGCATGCCTTTTGGATGGAGCACGGGAGCCCGAGGCCATCTCGGATCTTCCCCCGCTAAGCCCACTCATGCTGGGTTTCAGGCCTACATGTGTGCATGCGCATTGACAATTCAGAGAGCCCATAATTTAAAGCAAATTTGGAAAAGGATCCCCACGCACCCTTTTGCTCCATCCTCAGCACTGAGGATCTCCAAGTCTAGCTGAGCCTCCCCTTCTTAGTTCAGAGAGAATGAACCCCTTTCTCTCCTGCTTTATCACCAGTTTTTTTCCCTCTCCTGTTGATGCAAAGCTGGCTTCTGAATTGGCATGGGCTATGTAATGATACTCTGCCACAGAGAGTAGAACACCTTTTTTGTAAAGGGCCAGACAGTTAAATAGTCTACGCCAGTGGTTGGCAAACTGTGGCTCGTGAGCCACATGTGGCTCTTTGGCCCCTTGAGTGTGGCTCTTTCACAAAATACCATGTGCGGGCACGCATGTACAGTGCGATTGAAACTTCGTGGCCCATGTGCAAAAGTTGGTATTTTGTGGAAGAGCCACACTCAAGGGGCCAAAGAGCCACATGTGGCTCGCGAGCCGCAGTTTGCCGACCACTGGTCTAGGCGTTGGGGGCCATCGGGTGTCTGTCCAAACTATGCAACTCTGCCATCGTAGCACAGCGAATGTGGCGGTGTCCCAATAAAACTTTATTAACAAAAACAAGTAGTGGGCCAGACTGCAGATGGAATGAAAACCTATCACAGTCTTCTGCCCCCAGGATGCTCACAGACAAATAAGCAGCCAATGGCAGGGCTCGGGATTATGTGAGAAGTGGCCACACGCTGCAGTGAGGTACAGGAGGCAGGCAAGAGACATGGCTTAAGTGTTAAGGAAGGCTTGCTGGAGGAGAGCTCTCTTGATCTGGGACCTGAAAGATGAGTAGAGAGTAGCCAGGCTAGAGAGCAGTGGGGGGAACGGGGGGGGGGGGGGGGGGGCTTTCCGTGCAGAGGAAGTGTGAATGGGAGGACTTGATGGTGGTGGGAGGATGGAGCAATCAGATCACAGGCTTCCTGAGAGCAGGCCCTTCTTTCTCCGAGACAGAGAGAGCTCAGATCCCAGCAGAGAGACCCGCATCTTGTTGGCCCTGTGGGACTGGGTCACTGTTCCTGAGCTTGCTCTGCAGCGAGGGAAGGCCACTCAGGCAGGGTTCCCTCCCAGGATATTGTGTTTTGTGCTGGAGGTGGTGGAGAAACCTTTGTCGTTAGGGACCGTCTCTCGCTACCATTGTTCCTGCCATCATTGTCTGCTCCCTTCGGAGGCCTCACCTGGGCTTCTCACAAGCCTTTCTTTCAATTCAGCGATGAGCCTGGTGGAAGGCAGGGCAGGCTGCGGCGGACCTGTGGGCAGAGGTGGGATCTGTCACCGTGCATTTCTCTCTGGAGGGTTCTCAGGTCCAATAGTTTCTGGGGCTTCTGCTCAGCCAGAAAGAAGCGGCATCCGTGTGGAATGTCTGTACACGAGGCCATGTTCCCTGCACAGCCTGGGAGAAGAAAAGGAAGCTCATGGGCTCATAAACAGCAGAGGATTTTTTCAGGAGGGGTTGCTAATCAAGGCCCTTTAGGTTGCAAGTAACAGAAAAAGTAGCTTAAGCAAAATAAGACCTTGACCGATTCATGTGACTAAAGCATTACTAACTGCAGGGAAAGCTGGATCCAAGACCTCCGATGATCTCACCAGGACTCAGTTTATCTGTTGATCAATTTCTGGGCTGGCTCTCCTCTGGGTTGGCTTTGGCTTTAGGCGGTTCTTCTTCAAGGGGTGGTTCTTGGCAGCTCGGGTTTACATTTTGTTTACAGTTGCCAATGACCATTGAAAGAGGACTTCCTCTCAAGCTCCAGCAAAGTCTCAGGAATCTCCTTAGAAAGACAAGGGTTTAACTCGCTAACTGGTTTAGATAGACGGGCATGAACACACATCCTGGTGACGGTGAGAGTGGAACCCTTTTTTAATTTTTTATTGATTTCAGAGAGGAAGGGAGAGGGAAAGAGAGATAGAAACATCAATGATGAGGGAGACTCCCTGATTGGCTGCCCCCCGCAGGGCCCCCACTGAGGATGGAGCCAACAGCCCCGGCATGTGCCCTGACTGGGAATCAAACCATGACTTCCTGGTTCATAGGTTGATGCTCAACCACTGAGCCACACCGGCTGGGCAAGAGAGTGGAACCCGTTGATTAGGCAAGCCAGGTCACCTGACTGTATCTATGGGTCCTGGGAGGCGGGGCTCAGCCACATTTTCACTAGGCTGAGAGTGGAAGGCTCCCCCCACCCCCACCCCGAAAGGAACAGAGCACTTTCTTGAAGAAAAGTGAACACTGAGTGGCAGTGACAATGAATGGCCTCGTGTTTGCTAGGGATGCGTAGGGTTAACTTTTCCCGTCACGTATAGCGATTCAGCCACAGCACAGACAGACCCGGCTGAGCCCCAAGTGCTGCAGAAACATGTTAGCGAGAAGTGGCTGTGCGTTCCTGCTGCCCGTGGCACAGACATTTGGAGCAGTTATGCCGGGGGAGGACAGGGCCTGATGGGAATGTTTTCACTCGCAAAATGTTTTAAACTTAGCCTAAGCTAAGTCCTCAGCGTGTCATCTTTAACATTCTAATTACGGTCCCCTCTAAACAAGTGAGCTAGCTCTGTGCTCGGCTGTGAGAATAAACTTCCCTTCCCTCCATGTTAGAATGTTCCAGCTGCACCATGGTGCTTTAACCGAAGAGGTGCCCCTATGTTGGTGGTGAGGACAGAGGCGATGGGAGCGATTCTGACATGTTGGCCCTGCTATCATTATAGAGGGGCCGAAGTCACCTCTAATGGACCACAGACAATGGCAAAGCGGCTATTTGGTGCTTAACTGCTAGAGTGTTTTCTTCTGCCTTTTTCTGACTGTGCGATCCTATCTCTTGAGACCATGGACACTTCAGATCTCTGGATTGCAGTTTCTGCCTCTGTGATTGCTGTGGGGTGTGTGTGTGTGTGTGTGTGTAGGGTAGGGTAGTAGAGTTATGAGGGTGGGGGTGGAGGTGGAGGTGGAGGTGGAGAGAGATAGATGTTTCCTGAAATGGAAGCATTTGAATTCAGGGTGTGTGTGTGTGAGTATGTGTGTGTGTGTGTTTAATTCTTTTCACTCGGCTGTAATTATCACACTGCATGTTTTGCCTAGATCTGAAGGGTGAATTGTTATATAATACCCTGTGCTTATAAAAAATAAGACAGGGGCTGGGGGAGGCATTGACTAACGAGGCTGAGTTAAGTCCAGCACTTTGCAGAATTACTTAAAATGGGGCTATCACAGAGGGCCATCTTTGTCCAAATTAGGCCCTGAGTTTTCATTGGAACATCACACACACACACACACACACACACACACACACACACACGCACACACACTGTGGTCATTAACAAGACCCCCCAATCCCGTCATGTGAGCCAAGACACATAAAACTTTGATTAAATTCAAATGCTTAGATGAATTGTCTCTCCTCTCAGGAACACGCATGTTTGGTTTAATCGCTTTTGACGTTTTAAGTATCAGAGCAAGGTTCTGCTGTCACTGGAGACAACACCATACTAACATGTCCCCAAATGGGAATGAAAGAAGGAAGATCTGCCAGACAGATAGACCCAGTGGGACACAGATCCTCCCAGTCTGGGGCTGTTGAGCTGGATGATTGGGGAAAGTAACTTCCGGTTTCGCAGCCTTGATGTCTGCATCTGTAGAATGGGTTGTATAAATGAGGGTGACTACTTCCTCAGAGCGTCTGATGAAGATGAACTGGGGTGCATGGGCTCAGGCTCTTGGCACCGTGCGGGCACCCGCACCGTGTCCGGGTAACTGTGGTCCAGGGCCTGGGGAGAGGCTGTGCCCGATGGCCACTCACGCTTTCTCCTTCTCTCCCCCTCTGATTTTTCAGGGTAATCAGGAAGCAGCAGCTGCCCCTGACACAATGGCTCAGCCTTACGCTTCGGCCCAGTTCGCTCCCCCTCAGAACGGCATCCCCGCGGAATACACGGCCCCCCACCCTCACCCGGCGCCAGAGTACCCCGGCCAGACCACCGTCCCCGAGCACACGCTAAACCTGTACCCTCCCGCGCAGTCCCACTCGGAGCAGAGCGCCGCGGACACCAGCGCGCAGACCGTCTCGGGCACCGCCACAGTAAGTGGGCTCCAGGCTCGCCTGGGGCACCGGTGGGGGTAGGAGGGGGTCAGGCAGGGCTCGCAGGGTTCCCATAGTGACAGCAGGGTGCACCCCCATCCAAGCGTCCTGCCCATAAAGCAGCCCCTAACCCTGTCCTTGTCACCCCAGTTCTGCCAAGATGCCTCATCTCCAGGCATCCTCTCCTGTTACTTGCTGAAATGGTTTTTGGTTGACGGCGATTTGTTTGTAAAAGGAAACTTTGACCTACTCTTTGTTCCTATAGTTTTGCCTTTTCTGGAACAATGTCATCTCCGTGGAATCATACACTATGTAGCCTTCTTTTAAATGGCTTTACGGAGATGTAATTTACATACCATAAAACACACCAGTGTTAGGGGGACAATTCAGGCTTTTTGCGTATTTACAGGGTCCTGCAATCGTCAGCACAGTCTATTGGAATATTTCCATCGCCCCAAACACAGATCTTGTGGCCATTTGCAGCCACGCAGCATCTCTGCACCAGCCCTCCCTAACTTAGCCTAATGCGTTAGAGATTCATCCTAGTCTTCATGCGTGTCCCTGTTTCTTCCATGTTGTTGCTGGGCCCTGGGGTGTGCAGGCCTGGGCAGCAAAGAGGCAGCAGAAGAGAACCTTGCAGGGCAGTGAAACCATTCTGTACGTTGATGGTGGTGGTTACATGATTCTATGTACCCAAAAGAGTCAATTTCATTGCAGGAGGATGGGGTAAATGGGTTAAAAACAAGCAAGCAAACAAAGAGGAAATATTATAATACTATCATCATTGAAAATGAATGTTATTAGCTATGAATCAAGATAATCCTAAACAAAATAATTATTGAAATGGAACTGTTTGTGAGCGACCTAAGGTAATCATGCACACCCGATGTACACATGCATTTGTCGAACCTTGTTCTGCAGAATTCTCTGGGAGCTTGGGCTCACCCAGCCTCAAGTCTAGAGCCTTTTGTAAGTACAAGGCAGACGTGCCTCTTTCTCCTGCCCCCAGGCCTCTGGGAAACCAGTGTTGGTGAAGAAGTTTATTGTTTTAAAGCATGATATATGTTTTATAACTAAAAGCAACAGGTAACTAACTTTGATACCCGGTGCCTTTGACACCTGATACTTGGAGGTGAGACTTGGAGAATTTAAAAAATAATACACATTCTAAACTTTTCTATTGCCTTTTCAACTCTTTATTGTTGTGCAAAACATAAAATTCACCATTTTCACCATTTTAATGTAAACAGTTCCGTGTCATTCAGTACATTCACAGTGCAGTGAAACCATCACCATTATCCAGTTCAAGATTTTCATCTCCCAAAGGAAACTCTATGCCCATTAAGCAGACAATCTCCATCCTGCCTTCCACCAACTCCTGGCAACTACTAATCTGCTTTCTGTCTATATGGATTTGCTATTGGGGATTTTTCATAGAAATGAAATTATGTGTCTGTCTCCTTTCCAATATTAGGATGTTTTTCAAGGTTCACCATATTGTAAAATGTACAGGACTTCCTTTTCATGACAAATACTATTCCATTATACAGATAAGCCATTTGTTTATCCATTCATTCATTGATGGGCACTTGGGTTGTTCCCACCTTTGGCTCTTGTGAATAGTGCCTTTTTGTATATGGCTGTGCTACAACTTAGGGGTGAGTCTATTATGTGTGTTTGCTGATTTCACAGGTACTTGTGCTGTTGACAACCAGGTGATAATGGTAGAGTTGTTGTTTATTTTCTTGGTGCTTATTTTGTGATAATCAAGGTGATAGGGCTTCAGGAGGCTCTTTTAGGCCTGAAAAAAGAGGTTAAATCAGACATCATTTATTAAGCCTCAACATATACCAACTATACTACTGATTTGGAAGATTCATTCAGTCAGTCACACATTCATTCATTCATTCACAAATATTCATTAAACATCTACTGGAACCTGGACTCATAGTAGATGATGTGGTTGAATCAAACAGAAACAGTCCTTTTCATTTTTGAAACTTAGTGTGAGAGGCAGAGTGAACATGTGGCGATCAAGCAGCTATATAAACACAAATGATGATCCATGCTCTTAAGAAAAAGACAGATGCTATGGGAGGATAAAAAAAGAGCGGAGGCATGGCTTGCAAATGAGTAGTCTGGGAACCTTTCTTGAAGGAGATGATATTTAAGGTGAGAAGACAAAGCTTTTCAGGCAGAAAGAATGACAAGGTCAGTCACCCTGACCTTGACTCATTCAAAGAACAAAAGAGGCCAGTGTATCCAGGGCATGTGGAGAGGGTTTGGGGGGTAGAGTGACAATGGACTAAATGGAAAGAATCAGTAGGTATCATACCCCACAGGCCTGCTGGGTTCGATAAGGGGTGGAATTCTACGTTAGGAGTAATAGGAAGCCATTGAAAAGAGTTTGAGCCAGAGGACTTAGAAAATGAGAGTTTAAAAGAAAGGGTTAATTATGCCTACCTAAAAGGAAATTTTAATCGAGTTGGGCAGTTGACATGCTCAGTGTCCTTCTCTCACAAAAAGCATTCTTTGGAGATCAACACGATTAAAATTAAATAGCATGCGGACGGTCCACAGAGCCCAGACCCTGCGGGGAGATGCACGGGTAAGCAGGCCTGTGCTATGCCCTTAATAGGGTGTGTGTTCTGTTATTATTGCAATGTGACAAGTCCTAGAGCATGGAAACAACAGCGTCATTTCTGAAATTGGCTCCAACGACGGTATCTAGAGTATTTGAAAAACAAGGAGCACCTCTCCACGTATGGAGTGCGTGGATTTGTGGAGGGGCTGGTTACTTTGCCTCCTTTAGCAACGTTTGTGTGGTACATGCTCTCGTGGGAAGTTTTAAAGAAAAGAGAACCATCATCAGCGGAGGCAGGTGGCTTTGTGGCTGATCCTGATGGCCCGGAGAAGGGGCCATCCAGTTTTCTGCTGCAAATGATTACATGCCGATGGGCTTCTCTCCTTTGGCCAAAAAGGAAGATGCTTTCTCTGTCTGTGACCTACTTCTGAGTTGGGCTTTCCCGGCCCGACTGTGCAGAACACGGTTGATGAGAAGCTTGCTTCCCATTGTCTCTGCATCTGCACATTGTTTCCGAGCACTCCTTCTCTTCCCTCCAGGCTCTGCATTTCCTGGGGATGGAATTGAGCCTCAAAGTGGGTCAGACCCATGGTTGTCCCAGCCCGGTATTAGCACACCTAAGTTCTTCCCCATCGGTTAGTGTTGTACCTGCCATAACGCTAACTGTTCTTTGACACATAGGCCTGGTGCTTAATGCCAGTCTCACAGCACTGTGGAGGCCATCATTTCTTTGAGAAACCGAGTCGCTTCGGGTGAGAGAAACAATCCATCCATCTGCTAGTCTCCAAGAACTTCTAATGTATGCACATGATTTAACATAAAGTACAGACGGTAGAAGGGAAGCAGGCTGCACCCAGCGCTCCCAGCCAGAGCGGAGGAAAGTACAGACAGCAAAGACTTCCCCGGCCATCCTTTCAGTCCTCCGAGGGCTGAGATGAGTCCCTGCAGGACATTTTCTTGCCGAATGTCTATTTAATGCAGGGCCTCCCAACACATCATGGATCACTGTGCTGACAGAGGCAATCCTGCATTCTATTAGATACTGCTCCTGACAAGGTATTTCACTTTTGACATATTATAATTAGAGATTTGCAAGTGGTGAATTCTCCGTGTATCTCCAATAGCAACTTAACTTCTATTTTTAACGCCTCTGCAGTCTGTTTGAAAGTCTCCCACCAGCTCTGGGATCTGAGGGGAGAAAGACTGTGGGTCCCAGGGCTTGTTCCCCGGAGCTCTGGGCTCTATTGACAGAGAGAAGAGCTGTTTAAGGGACCAACTTCTTAATCCTCAGCTGCTTTCACTGAGTGTTGTGTCTCCAGACATCATTAATACCCTTAAGAAGATAAGACATTGGTCGGTGATGACCTCCTGTTCTTAATCCCTTACACATTGGCTCTGTTCTGCAAGTCAATTATGGAGCTAAGTGTGGGGAAAGCTTCTCAATGCATTCCTTTTTGTTAATTAGCCATTATTTTTAGTATTATTACTGCATTGATTCAGGTAGTGGTTAAAAAGCCACACATTGGAACAGGTCTACAATGGAAATGGAAATTCCCTAATGCCCTCAAGCCCAGTTCTTAGTCTTCCTGCTGGAAAGTGCAGGTCCCAATCCCTAATATTTTCCTCTGGAGTGTTTTATGCAAGTGCAAGTATATGCCTGTGTCTTAGTTCAGGCTGATGTATTATAAATGGGTGGCTTGAAAATAAAACAAAACACATTTATTTTTCACCATTTGGGGGCCAGGAAGTCCAAGATCTTGGCACCAAAAGATTGGGTGTCTGGTGAGGGCATACTTCCTGGTTCAAAGCTGGATGTCTTCCCATTGTGTCTTCACATGGAGGAAGGGGTGAGGGAGCTCTCTGAGGACTTCTTTTTATAAGGGCTCCACCCTCATGATCAGGTCATCTCCTCAAGGCCCCTCCCCCTACTACTATTACTATTACCTTACTGGCTAGGATTTTAACATATGCATTTTGTGGTACCACAAGCATTTATCTAAAGCAGCTTGCTTGTCTATCTCTACCTCTAACTCTACCTCTGTATATGTCCCTGTCTCCTCTATCTCTGTCTCTATCTATCTGACGTACCTCTACCTCTACCTCTACCTCTATCTCTATCCCTATCTCTAACTCTCTCTCTATTTCTATCTTCTCTCTCTCTCTCTCTCTCTCTCTCTCTCTCTCTCTCTCTCTTCTAGCTCACTCCATCTCTAAATCGATCTTGATATACTCTAACTTCTCCCTAGTGCCGATCTCAATATAACAGGATTAACATCTATTAAGCACCCATTGGCACTCTATATCTGGGAGATGATTTTTGTTTTCACTTTGAGATGTAACTCGTTCTTTTTCATGTTTGCATGGACTCTAGGTTGTTTCTGGGGTTTATCTGGCAATGTTGTTATTCCCAATCAGC